GACTTGTTACCTAAATAAATAGTATTAAAAAGTAAAAAAATAAACGTTGAAAATCATAAGTATGTTTTACTGTAAGTTGTAGGTTTATATGAAATATTTTTAAAAAGTTCATAAAATATGATTACTAATAATAATACTTGTCCAACTTTCCACATTGTTTCCACAACTATAATATTATAAGGTTAATTTTATATGACAACTAGACGCGTCTAATGTCCAATAATTGGAATAAACTTTGTTTTAATAAATACATTTATAAATGTATAAAAAAAAAAGTAACTCAAAGAACAAACTAAAAAACGTCAATCATCGAAGGCCTTTAAATTATTAAATTATCTATGCGATTGTAAACCTTAATGGTAATTATACACAATACGATTAAGACTGTATAGTATTTTTTTTTAGAATAAAGATTTTTTGATTTAGACAACGTGGCGAAGGCATGAGTATCACAAAAATAATAATATTACATGCCATTAAAATACAGATGGATAATAATAATTGATATATATATAACTAAGTGTGGGTACATTTTACAAATTAAAAAAAGTATTGAAAACGTAAAATAAAAAAAATGCATTGAAGTATATTGTACATGAAGTGTAGACACATTTGTTTTATTAAAACTTACACTCTGAAACATGACACACGAAACATTCGAGTATATAAAGGAGAACCCATTATTACCATTTTATATACATAAACACGTGTTGTACGATTATATACGTATGGATACCCCACAATATTATTGTGTTGCATTCATATACGGTGGAGATTGACTGGAACACGATACCAGTCATTGTCACTAGGTATATTATTAAACAGAGTGATTCAAAAAGCACACTAACCATCATTATTTCAATAATAATTTTAATATGTTTTTATATACTTAAAGACAATATTTTTGAACTTTCGAGAGTTTTTGTACTACTTTTAAGGGATGTTCTGTGAACATACAAACTTCTGTTTTCAAATAAGACCCCTCCCCCTCTTTTTTACTGAAAATTACTTAGCAAATAATTTGTATAAAGATCAGAAATCAGAATGAAAATGCTTAAGAGTAGTATTCGAGTTATTTAACTTTGCAATGTTTAATAAGTCTATGATAATGGGTTTAGGACTTTGTGAGGTATGGAGATTCTATAAAACCATTTTTAAGGACTACTATTCTTAGTATAAACACTTTAAGGCTGAGAAACTATACTCATTTGAATAGATACACCAATATTTTGAAAAAAAATTACTTCTAAATATTATGCAGTACAAACTAGGGTTCTCATTTAAAATCTAAAGTTTGCATCGCCACACTAGGGTATTCTTTACTTTTTAGGCAGTGCGAAAGAAATTAAGAATTCGAAATACTGGTCTTCTATTATATTAATTAAAAACTCCAATAATCAGATTTTGAATGAAGTCATTAGAAGAAAAAGGGGTGAGCAATGAGCCTGCAGGTAGGTATGCCTGACTTCATCTTAAATGTTAACATCTCAAAACTGTTAAATGAGTACAGCTGTAGCAGTATGCAGTACTTAAACACTATCGATGACAGAAGTAGATGTAGGTACGAATTTAACGGCGACATAGTGTCCGGATTTGTCGGTTCTTAAAATCACTGTGTTGAATAGCTGTTTGCATATCATATTATCAATTATGGCTGGTCCCCGATAGTGTGCTCCACTGGTCGGATACAGCAGAATAATAATTAATTATATAATATTGATCGTCATGGCGAGTGTATCTATTATAATACTGGGTTGAACTGTCAAAATTAATTCTAATAATAATAATTATTTTCAACGAGAACGAGACAGTACAACAACTACAGCCAGCATAGACGTCATTTCGTTCACGAGTAGCCATTATAGGTACACACATTGCATAATACTATGTATGTGTAAGTATAATAACATGCATATTTGCTAAAACCTGCAAATCTCTCATAATAATACCGAGTATCGATAACTCAAATGTCAAGGAGAATGAAAACGAATTCGACTTATGTATTTTTTTAATTACAGGTATACCTCAACACAACTTTTAAAAACACTTCAAGGGGCAAGAAAAAAATTAGAGTTATTGAGAGTCGACTGTAATAGTATTATGTTATACACTATATTACTATATAGGTATTTTATCATTCATTGCAACACTTACTGTAAGCCGATACGTCAAAATCAAAAAAAAATAACAAAAAAAAAAATGTAACAAAACTGTGTTGACAAAAAAAAACACTCCGATTTTGGAATATCATCCACATATTATATTATAAATCATGCAGATCGTCACAGGTGTCTGACTACCCACCTTCACAACTGTTTTCACACCTAACTATAGATACTATAATTTTATTAGGGATGTATAAGCTAGGTAATTTTAATGATATTTTTTTGGTTTTACGTCAAAGTCATGAAAATCCAGTGTCATCTCGTTTGAAATGTTTTCACTGGTATAATATTTATTATAATATTGATATACACGTATTTGGTTTATTTTCGTTCACATATTGCATAATTATAATGTTATGACTATTTATAACAGATTTCTTTTGTACCATAATATATTATTAATGACTCGTTGTTTTTTCAAAGAGATTCGCAGTTTTACTTGGTTATCATATTGAATAATACACTCAAAACATTGTTAATCGAACCTCACTATAGTCATTCTAGGTTCGGACATTAAACTATGTTAACTGATATTTTTTTTTAATTATTATTTTTTTTTTAATATTACCTATACGTTGAACGTCCTTTTACACTTATTTTCGTTACATAACATAAATAATTAATTTTTACGCACTTTACGGCTTTTAATTATTAAGTTTTTCAAAATATTTGATATTAATTGCCGTCTATTATTTTACAGCCATTGAACTATTTAATGACAAAACACTTTAATGTCTTAATCAATTTTAAAACGCTTTGCTTAAAAATGTGTTTTGTTAAATGCTTTGAAAATCATCGGCATATAATTATATAAATATGGATTTAAATGGCCATATTATATTATTATTATGATGGTGAAAATACTTGAAATATAATTTATACTTATAATTCAAATGTTCAGATGACTAAGATACACAACGACCCATACATATCTAAAAGCCAATAATACAATTTTGTACTGTGGATTGGCGTCGTGGTGGTTGGCATCAGTCACAAACGTGTTCGGTAGTCAAGCATCAGCCAGTGTCACTAATTCCCAGCCCGGGTTTTAGTGACAAATCCTCGTGTTCCGACCAACCATACCCTCCCACACCTTAAAAGCCTACTAAATAATCTTTAAGCTAATGACCATAGATATTGAAGCCTTAACTCAATAAAAAAAAACTATTGTCTATGATAATATTATGTGAATTAATTTCGTTACGTATGAGCTAATTTTATATGGGATTAGAAACACCCATCTGTTTTACTCAAAATAAGGGTAATACCTCACACTTTTTTTCATTTTATACGGATGAAAAAAATATATATTTATGTATTCCGTGAACATTTGTTGTTGTTGTAATAAGTGATTGTGGCATTCTTTTTTTTGCGTCTAAACAGGTCAAACTAATAAAAAAAAAGTTTCACAAAAGTGTAGTACACGTATTAAATAAATGAAAATAAACGTTTGTTCACACAAAAAGCTTTTTCTTGGGTCAAATATTATAAATTAGAATAAGTTTTCAAGTTTGAATTATCGTTATACGACATTATTCTTACTTGTCCTAAGTAATTTTCTTTTGAAAAGTTTGTTTTGAATTCCAAATTATATATTACAATCTATCGATATTTCCATAAATGAGAAATCATACCCATTTTAACTCGAAACATTATTGCCAGTATGAAATATAAAATATGTATTTGGATTCAGCTCAGATCGTCAATAAACTGATAGTTATATTATACTGACAATAATTATAGTTATCGTTTTATTTTAACAAATAATTTCAGATATTACAATAATGTGCTTAAAATTACACTTTTTTTTTCAAATCAAGTTATTGAGTGATCGTTGAATATATTGTATAGGTACTTACTCAACAGAACAATTTCAAAATGGGTAAAATAATATAAAGCAAATATTAAAATGTCACCGAAGCAGATGGTGTACCCAGATGTCGCCAATCTTAAATTTCCCTAGCATCGTCTACAACGTGCATTTAAATAGAAGATAATATTATTATAATAATAAAACGTATGTAAAAAGTTTAGGCTGTTTATGACTCCAAAAAAATGGATGTTTTTACAATTCGCACCACGATCTTGATATTTCTAGAGTCAAGTACCTGGCCTCTATCCATTTCGTATATTTATCAATCGTAAAGACGTGTTGATACATATTATAATTTATAACTATACGCGTTGTGTGTGTGTGTGTATGTGTGTGTGTGTGTGTGTGTGTGTGCGCGTGCGTTTCAAGTTGTATCGATTCAAATGATTAAAAGTTAGTAAACTGAAATAAAATAAAAATGAATTCGTTTTTTTACGACATAAATTCTGTTTGATCGGACCTGTAGATTATTTCTATCATAAAATATAAATTGTTTTAAAATAACAAATTCAGCTGTGAATAAAATTATCAATGAAACACAATTGTTTCGTATATGCGGCATAAGTATAAGTATTCGTATTAAATCATAATCAATACGTTTACATTAAGTATAGATTAATTCTAGATATTGGCTGGATATTATAATGTACAATTAACTCTGTGTAAGGTGTTACTATTAAACAACAAGGAACAAATTATTGTGTATTATGTTTATTTCAAATTTACCAAGTTTATAAAATAATATCTTCATATATTATCTATTTATTTATAAATACATAACTAAATACAATCTTCAACTTGCAAATCGATATATTATAGGCAGGTACATACTGTATTATATATTCAATATTAATGTGCTAAAGTAAAATAAAATTCAAAATTCAAATAAGGTGTATAGGTAACTACATAGTTTTAACTAGGTAAGGTTAATGTCATCTAGATGTTCAAAAAGTATATTGTTTCTATTTTAAATCAGCAATTCCGACTCTATTATTTTCCAAATCAAACGTAGTGTAAACGCTTGACAAAAATCCACCCCCTAATGACCAAAGTCCGTCTGGCAATTGTGAATCACAAAACGCCGTTATGCAAACCGTTCCATTTTCATTCTCCATCTAAAAATCATGACGTTTAAAATTTCCAAAAAGTCCTGGCAAAACTTTAAGCATTATATTAAGTATGTGTCATACACTCAAACTCACTTCTTGGATATAATTTCTTCCACTAATGTGAAAATCTCGAGAACCTATGTTGAGAGTAATTTTTGGCAACTTATTCACTTTTGAACACGGTACCTTTAAATATGAGCATACAAGAAAATTTATATTAATAATTTAATGTGGTTAAGACTTTGAAGTGGTTGTAAATGGTTTCATTTGTACCTATATAATTAAATTATAGTGTGCGTGCAACACCTATCATAGTAGTATATAGTACATAACAACATAACATTCAATTGTCATAAGTGAAACGTCAATCACAATATCGGTTTTTTTTCGCCTTAAAGTACTTAGTACTTTACGTCTACGGGCTATCATATTACATTCATAGTTATGCCAATTGATCAATTTATCGGATAATAATTCTAAAAACGGGTTGAATTAGTAGGTTAGGTTAGGTCATTATTTTTTTTTTTTAGAATTACTTTATCACTTTTTTTTATTTACCTATTTATATTAAGTTCTAAAATGTTTAGATCTTAAAGTCAAATTTAGCAAAGATTAAATGTTAGTATATAATATAATATCATGAGTTGATGTTATTATACTTTACGATAAATCAGGATCTATTTAAAGATATTATATAACTTTATATTATATATAGTAGTATCAGTACCGTGGACAAAATATGGGTATGTTTTTGTACAAATAATATATTTTGTTTGCAATCCAAAAGTCAAAACATTCAGAATATTATATTGTTTTAATGTTTTTGTTAAGCCACGAGGAAGTCTTTTAAAATAGCGTTTTATCTATGAATAAATATTAATAATATGATATGTTTAAATACATCTGGTCAAGAGAGTTTATATTTTCAATGTATTTGTTTTATGAATATGTTCGCATCAAAAATAGGTCACAGCTAGATACACGAAACGTTACTACTTTAGAGGTTGTACAAAACTCCCCCAAAACTGAAAATGTTAATTATTATTACCTCGTATCTGTTGTATAAATACTTAGTAGCTGAGATTAAATTGTTTATGGCAAGTACGTATTCATTAGGCACTCCGATTGCGTTCGAGCTGGTATCCAATATCACTTGGCATCCATGATTACCACAAAATGTCTTTGAATTTGTTTTGTTCCCATGTACTGAAAACCTAAATATGTATACAACATTAACATTATGAATTTTTTCATAATGTGACATAATGAAACATCAATTTTGTGTTATTTTGAGATATATCTATTATACAATTTCTAGTGTGACACAAGGCCGGTTAAAAATAAATCCATAAATTATATTATATTTTTTTTTTTATTAGGTTTAAGACTTCCACCACTTATCATTAGGCTGTAAGGGTTGGAACGATTGGTACAGTCGGTTAGTGAATGTGTGGTAAGGTTTTTGAGCACTACGAACCCGGGTGGTCACCCATCCGAGAACTAGTGGCAGCGGCCGTTGCTTATACTCTCAATCACGTTGAATGATTGATTTCAGCTTATGCCCCTCGCTTAGCCATAAACTATATTACTATATTTATGTTTAATACTCTACGAGCATAAATTATTTACTATGATGTAATACAGATTTAAAAAAATAATATAACACATTGCATCATGATCAATAAATTTTAATAATTTAATTTAAATTTGTTATTATTTATAATTATTATTTTTATAAATATATTCAATATTAAACATGGGATCATTAAAAATAAACCAAGGAACTAACTCTGATTACCTTGTAAATGAATTGGTCACTGCAATGGATGTATTTAATTTGAATTCATTTCCTTATATGAAAATTGTTTCTGAACGAAAATGATTTGTAGGTCTCGATTTTTGTGGTTATTTTAAAATCAATTAATTTATATTACTAATATAGTAATTTATTTTTCTATAGGTTGGTTAGAAATGGAGTTCTGTCATTAGAAAAATCGTTATTTACAATCAAAATCAAATGTTGTGGTTAGTTTAACTCCAAATGCCAAAAAAGAAACTGTGCAATGTTTTTCTGAAACTTTTACATTTCTGATAGAACAGCTGCAGATGAGGAACTTCGTATTACATTTTCAAAATTGTTCTCATAAAAAAAAATAATTCTCAATATTTTTAAATATTTAAACTTGATAAAATTATCTTCCCAAAACTACACTTAGTTTTGAAGATTGAAAATATATTCTGATCCAAAACGTACCAAAAGCCACAAAAAAGGATATATTATTGTAAAATCAATTAATTTATTGGTCCACTCGGATCTAAAATTTGATTTATAAACGTATATAACTACTTGAAAAAAAAAATAATATTTAAATTTATAAATATAGTAAAATATGTTTTAATATGTTCTACATAATATTATTATAATACGATTATAAGCACAGACGATTCAAATAAAAAAAAAAATAACGACATGAAGTAATTTGGAAATATGATTAAACGAGACTCATATAAACCGTATGAGATATAATATTATATTCGCTTTTCAAGATTAAAAATACTTTACAATAATTTTACTGTTGCACGCTGAACATTTTTAAATCAAATACCTTTTAAAAATTATTATATTATTATCTACATTTACGCATCTATGTATTATATGATTTATTTATAAATTAAAATATATGCATATACCATACCTATTATAAAATGTGTTATAGTAGTAATTAATGTTATTCCTCGTGATTCAGATTACAAATGATACGGTTAAAAATGTTAAAATATCATTTGTGAATTCTATTTAATAATATAATTTACAAATAAGTAGGTATATTATAGTACAGAATAAAACTAATGAGCTACATATAAATTTCTGATAATGATAATACATTGATAATATTTGTCGGTTTTATATATCAATGGGTTTTTATATAGCTTTAGTATAAAACTATTAAATTCAAGAATTGAATTGATTTGAATATAGATAGGCAATTACACGTGTACCCATTAGGAGTTCTTATTTTTGGAGTTTTGAAGTATTCTTAAGAACCATATTTTCAAGTAATAAGTGTCCTGTGGCAATAAAAACTTATATTTTTTAAACTGAAAACCAAGCTTTTTTGGTACTTATAAACTGTTAGTTACAAAAATGTTCAAACCATTTTAGTCTCCATATTTTCCAAACCCATAATCGTTTGTACACTAAGTTAAATAACACAAAAACTACTCTTTTAATTTTTGATTTAAATTTATTCGACATTTTTAAGAATTCAACTAATTGATAATTTACAGAAAAAATAGTAGTCCAACAGTATATTTAATATCTGTGGCTTTAAACAATAATGTTAATTGTATTGCATTTTATAAGTGTGTATAATATACTATAATATAGATAAAAACCATTGATAATTTTTTTGAGTCCTGTAAAAGATGATTTTATTTGTAATGTGTACAAATACTCGTACTTACTGATTCATTTCAATTTGCCAATATTTTTTTATTGATACAGGTACATAGGTTATTTCACCTTTGATGTGTTTTGGTTCAATTCCACCAAGAAATATTATTCCTCCTTTGTCTGTAGTCTTATCCCTGTTGAAATAAAATTATAATCGTATAAATATATTAGTACTAGAGTTTGATAGCTGAATTTGGCATTTGGCATATTGTTAATAATTTAGAAACAACTCGTATCTGCAAATATTTTCACTTTTTTGTACAATTTAATTTGCATTTTCTGGACACATATTACTATACCATTATGTTATTTATATTTGATAAGTGTAAACATAATATTTTATAATTAATAAATTGTATCTATCGAAATTAAGAGTAATGAATTATAAAATATATACACAGAGTGATTTACCAGGCATGCTCACCACCTATACTCTTCTTTATTAATACTTACCTACATAATCAGAATTTTTAAGCTTACTTACAAATTACATATCATAATTTTCAAAATGGAGTTATATATATGTATTCTATTTTAAAATGGATACTCCTGTGGCAGTACAAAATTAATTTTTCTGAATGAGCTCTCAATGCACTAACGATCACCGACTCCGGTTCAATAAACCTCGGCAGCGGGCGGCATTTTTCTGCGGGCAAGTCACGGTGTCCGGAGAGAAGTGCCGCCATCCCCCATCCTGGAATGTCAGATACCTACGGGTGCCCACTAAAAAATCTGCTAAACTAACAAACACACGTGTTTAACATACAGTACCCTCCTCCACAGTTAAAAACCACCCAATGGTCTAAGTTGTTGTGGGATTTAATAAAATAAATAAATAAATAGTAATATCCATCAGTTCATCACGCCTCAATAGAAATCATAGTACTAAAACAGTATTTAAATTAAAACTATTATAAACTATTTTATAAACATTATGCATATTTTATTATGTTGTGTAGTATATTAAACTATATAACGGCTTCAATACAATATTAAATATTATATTATGTTATTATTTTTTTTTTTATTCATACTAAGTAAATATAAACCATTCCCTGAAAGACTTAACGTATAGATAAGTACTTAAACGAATTCTACCGAGGTAAACTGAACATTTCATTCTTCATGACTCCTAGTTCGGGTATTCCTCAAGGTGGAATTCTGTCCTCTTACTTCATAATAGTTATGCTTCTGGTCAACCCACCACGCCACACACGCTGGGTTCCGACTGCGCTGATGACAAAGTTATAATATTATCTCCAAAAACACTCTAATATTGTTTCTCACCACCTTCCAAACCTCAGGAAATATCCATGGAAGACTTTTGCACAATACGGAGGCTAAAAATCAATCAATCTAAATCCGCATACATACCACATTAACCCTCAGACATTTACTCTGCTGTCTTCCTCTATTGCATTCAAATTCCGATGCTACAAACAGTTAAATACTTCGGGGTAACTCTTGACTGTAGACTAACCTAGATCAAATATATTAAATCTAAACTGCTCAATCTAAATTCTAGATTACGCATACTCAAAATGATGATATATACATTTAAATTTCCAATCTGCACAACAATATGAATTATAATATTTTTGTAGCTACACACACTCATATTTTGTACAGTACCTATAATTGTACTTGACAATATTGTTATGTAAATTTCGTTTTACAATTTATTATAATACCATACTACAATTTATTGCTTACCGGTTCATGTATACTGAGAAAATTGGTTTTAAAATTTTTTTATCCTCCAGTAGCTTATAAAAAAATGGTTGGTTTGTCGTTCTAGCCAAGGTATTGTATCCTAAACCAATCAGTCCATCGGCGTGCATCATTTGATATTGCGAGACACTCGGTATCTCACTGATTGCAGCAAATATTAAATCACTGACATTTAAATGACCCATCTAAATAGATACATTATTATTAAAATTGTATTTTAAACATAGTTATGCCCCCACAATTATTTTAAAAATAATAATTTATATGTTTATTATTCTTGAAACAATTTAAAGCTTTCTGATTATTATATTTATAATTATACTCATGTGTTAGCAATATGATTAATTCTTAAATATTATCCATTACTGATAAAGTGATACATTACAATATAACTGATGAATAATTTATTATGAACCTAATATCATTATGATTTATTTATCTTTATAAAATACTTTTAGTCTCAAAACTATAGTTTTATATAATTCCTATTATACCTAATTAAACATTTTAAACATTACAAATTAAACAATAAAATTGAATAAATAAATAGTGTCGCGATAAAAAGCTCAAAAAGCTGGAATTAATTATATAAACACTTAGTTTATTGTGAAAAATAAAATAAAAATTACAATTTATGGGAAGTCACTCTACTGGATGAAGGTGTTCCTGTACTCCGTAATTGAGTAAGTAACTAAAATTAATGTGATGAATGTAAATGCAATGATAAATAATTGGATATGAAAAAAGTTTCTGGGTGGAAACGTTTTTCAGCTTCTATTCGTATGGATATTTTGAAATTAATTAATTTATATTAGGTACTTGAAGTTTACTTAATTTATTTTTCTATATTAATTGTATTTTACAAATATCATTAATGTCATCAACTCGTATAGTTGTACATACAATATTTATATATCATTATTTTTAACTTTCAATTCAATACCGACTTACCGTAGAATGGTTTATCATAGATGGAATATACTATAATATACTAATGGCTGTATTCACATAGGTTCGTGGAATACATAGGCAATAGCTTTACATTAATCATAATATTTATAAAAATATAGTCATGAACGAATGGGTTTAAGTCCCTCAAAAAGGATTATTGAATAAAATGAAAAGAAGAAAAATCGTAAAATGAATTCAATATTGATAAATCTTTTTTAAATCAAAAATTTAGTAAAAAATTGTCTATAAAATATTTATGAGGTTTTTATTCCTTTCAAAACAACTTCTGATGAATGTTATATTTACATCTTCAAGACTTAGCTTTAAAGTGGAAAATGTTTTGACATTTTCAACTAGGTATCAAATATTATTATGCAAGTATTCATGAATTGGTCAAAATGTTAACTTCAAATCCTTAAAAAACGCAATAAATAATAGTATTTATATTGTTTTTAAATTAATGGTGCGGAATATTAATTATCTGTCAACGATTAATAATTTATGAATAATAAAAACAATAATATGCAGTGTTTATTTTAGCGTAAATAGTCAATTTCATAAAAATATTAACATTTTGTTGTATGTACCTGATCGTATTAATCGTATAGAATAATTAGACTGAAGATGTTTAAAGGGCATTTCTAATCAAATATCTACGCCATCGTCTATTATGGTACAATCAGCTTTTAACGAGGTTTACCGATTTAGCTAAAGGCCATGCATCTAAATAATTACCCACCAAACCATTTTCACGGTGACACCTCAACAACCCAAGGTTTATTAATCAATTTTCGATAAAATAAAGGATAATATTGACAGTCTAAAGTATCGAGTTTAAACAACGCAATTTATCATAATTTCTGCAGGGTGAGTGGTTCACGTTGAGTAGAAAAAAATCATAAAATAAAATATTATGGTCACCCGTTCATGACTTAATTTGTTATAATATTTATTATCTATACTGCTTCACTTCCATAGAATTTATATTTTATTTCTGTTGCACACTATTATTCCAATTTTAAGTCTTAAACAAATAATGATTCGCTAATATCATAATAAATAGTTATTATTCGTTGAAAATAATATGGAGTTGGAATAATAATATGACCGTCATCGATTCACAATTTTTTAAATACTATGCCTTAATCATAACGACTTACCACAACTGTGTCGCATGTTAAATTTCCTACTAATCCGTCCACATTAAACGGTGCTGGATCGATAGACTTGTGCGACGACGAAACATCAGGATCATACAAGTTTTTCTTGTCTTTGAGAAACATAATAATATAATAATATAATATACAATGAATATCAAAAGATTATTATACGTATTAGAGGTATTGCAAAGTATATTTAGTTATGAAAAAATATTATATGAACCAAGTTCTAAGAACTTACCGCAAATCGGATATATTCTTTTTGAACATAGTTTTGACGGTATCCACATGTCACCCCATGTCGTGTCAAAAATTACAGTAAATTTCTGTCCTGGTTTTCCCACTAATATTTGAGCATAGTATTCACTCTAATCAATACAATTTTGATCTATATTAATTTAGTATATTAGGTAGAGTTAAAATTATCATTACTTTTGAACGCCCTATGTAAGGCATCGGAATACAAATAAATAAATCGTTCATCATAACAATTTATTCTTGTGTTATACACACATACCCAAGGATCAAGAGGTAGGCAATATAGGACCATGCCTAGGGTGGCAATTTAGTATAGGGTAGGCATTTTCAAAACAGTGATAATATTATTATTTTCAGGGGGGCAAAATTTGATTTTACCTTGTTCAGTAAATGAAATTGAGCCAGCCCGGCACATAACGATTTTAGTATTTAAAAATACATTAATAATATATAGTATAGTTTATGATTAAGATGAATTATTCATAGTATTATATTAACTTTTATAATATAATCTTAGACTTGTTCGTATTCTACTAATAATTTTTATGATACTGAACAATATTACGATTCGATCATAATATTTTATTAACGAATACGGAAAGATTATAGTACCTATAGGTATTACAACATCGTTTGTACTTTTATTCATTAATACATTATTTTTCAACAAGTTGCAATAAATTTTTGACATTCTGGTGAACGTAAGCTATTTATACATTTTTAATTTAGAATTGCCAATATCATATTACTCATAGTATTGTATTAAAACAATTAATACAATTCAAAAGTATTAATTAAGAAAACAATTAGGTATATTGATTTCCTCCGTTTCCTATTTTTAAGCTAACGTCATAATTAGTTTTGTTTTTAAATTTTTCTGTATAAAATATTTTATTTAAAATTGTGAGTATCGTAACAACGCGTAATAACACTTACGTCCAAATATTTGAATAGTGTGATATTCTCGTTCGTTGGATGAGTTTTTTGAATATTTAATTTCCTCGTGTAGTCGGGATCTTTAATTAACATGTGCAACGGTGATTTTCGTCTAACTAATGGTATGCTAAAAATAAAATAAAATAAATATTTTTTACTAAATTATTTCTCAAGTACTTTATTGGTACGGTTCTTTATTCATTCTAAACGAGATTCAGTTAATATTATAATAAAAATATGATTATACGTATTACCGATAGCCGTTCGTTTCGACTTCCGCAATGGTGCAAAACACATTATAGAAAACCACAAGCAACATTAATCTGTACATCATAATAAATTTATTATTATTAATAAATTTTTTTCACACAAAATGAAATAACCGAAATGAATATACTTTGATAGTTCAAAACGATATGATGTTAGAATAATATTCTGAACCGATAAGTACCAGTAGAATAGTGTGTCTCTGACAAAATATTTATGTAGATTAGCATAATTAGATAGGTCAGTGGTTCTCAAACTGTACACCACAGAGCCTTAGGGTTCTGAAAGAGTGATCAAGCGACTCCATGGAGTTTAGGAAACATCTGAATTAAATATTGTTTACTGCAATAATCATGATTTATAATTTTTTTTTTTAAACTGCAGTTTCAGGATGTTCCTAGCTTTTTAGTTTTCTTATATAGTATATATATATATTGTTAGAAACACTTTGGGACCAAGGTGAAATGTGTCAATTAACCGATTGTTTTTAATAAGCGATTGAAAAAAAAATTCAAAATACTCGAAAAATATATGTATGTATGTTGTATAATTTAAAAAAGTATGTACAAATGTATATATTTTACTATATTAGTCTTATATGTATTTTTGCTTAGCAACATGAGAACTCCCGTTAACCAAAAAGTTTGAGAACCACTGTGATAGATAAAGTCGTGCTACAATAATAACATCGACTATTAAAATATCATCTATTCTGATCAATATTTGCAATATTATAATATGATATTATGTTATCGCCGCTCTAGAATGTAAACATAGTAGGTATGAGGTTTCATATAATTTAATGATCACCTATTTGATATATTATTGTGATTATAAATATTTAATTATAGCTATCAGAATACAAAATTATAAAAAAATATCCAACTTGTATTTGATTGTAATAATATTGATATTAAAATAATATAATATTAAAATATGCATAAATCAAATCAAAAGCGTGTTGAGTTACAAAGTTACTTCTAATATGTAAATAAAAAGAAATATTTGGGGAGTCACCTTGAATGTTTATACGTTATCATATCAATAATTATTATTGTGTGATTAATTTTATAATATTGGCAACTTTCTCTAAGACTAATTTTATGAAATGTGATTTTGTAAATTGTAAATTATTGAAAGCCAATATATAAAAAATAATATTTTAATCAATTATAAAAGTATTGTCACACAGTAATTATTCTAAGACATCTATCCATAAAATCTTAAATTGCTGAGACGAAACTTGTTATTGATATGATTATCAATCAAGTTTCTCTGAAATAGACCTATATGCTTATGCATTATATTTTATTTATAATGATTAAATCAATACGTATTAATAATACCTAAAAATATGAAAAAAAAAACTGTAATAAATAAATCCTTAGGTATATTTTTCAAAAAATCATAAACATTTTCTGGATCAGTGGATCACATGAACAAATTTGCTACATTTCAAAATATTTTTATGTACTGTTTTTATTGAGAGAACTATTATCAGAATAAATTTGTTTTAATTAATATTTTATAAAGAAAAAAATCTCGATCATGCAGAGGTTAAAATGGAAAGATAGTAGGAAACCTTTGTAAGTTCTACCACACCTATATTTTTTTAATTAATAATAATTCTAAATTTGAAGACTTCTAACTGTATAGAACTGTATACTGTACTATTTTTATATATATAATTCTACTGTACGTGTGTTTGTAAGCGAACTCCTCTTAAACGGCTAGACCGATTTTGATGACAATTTTTGTGTGTGCTTTAGTGGGCCCTAGAATGTTTTAGATTCACAATCGGACCCGGTAGGCTCATTCCGTGGAGGTGCTCAAACGGGAATTTTGAGATTTATGGTTTATATTTTTGTTTATAAATGGTTGCCATGGGTTTTAAAGCTATTATAATAATAAATGTGGTTGCCGTGAAATCAGAAATAATTAGAAATAATTTATACACAATGTTAATATAGTTAAAACCAACGATAATTTTTGATTTCATTTCATACTTTATTTAATACCCTAATCGATTGAAATATCATGCAGGACAACGCCTGTCGGGTCAGCTAGTGTAATAATATATTCATAATATAAATAAGTATATAAATAAATCAAAATCCTAATCTCTGTTTTTCTTTAATTTAAAAATCTGCTCTTAATGTTTTCTATTAGAAAGAGTTTTGAATATAGAGCTTAATGTTAATTGCTTTTATGAATATATAGTTAAAATAATAAGTTGATACATACATATTTTATCACATCTTCCTTTTCTATACTTAAATATTTCATATTTAAAATAGAACAATTAGTACCTAAAGTTAATTTATTCAATGTTAATTAAAAAATATATGTATTTTATATTTAAACCAAGAAAAATAAATCGGAGGAAGTCACTCGATGTATTTTAGATTTTTTTTAGTTATATGAACAACTTATGATGAAATTTGTATTCAATTTTCAAGGTCTACACACAGTATATTATCCATAATATATAAATATTTGGTAAATATTCCAAGTTTTTGCAGTTATTTATTTTGAATTACTTACAACAACAAAAAAACAAAACCGATTTTACCGATAACTGATATTGAGTTAAAAAAATAGTTTTTAACTAATTTGTTTTCCAATTATTCAGAATATAACTGGGAATCTTTTAATTTTTACTTCTCTAATATAAGTTTTAACAACCACGATAATCTACTAAGTAAATAACCATTTTACCAACTATATACAATTCGATATCAGAACATCCCTTGAAACTAGAAAATCAAATTAAAAAAAAACACTATTAATTGTAAGTCCAATACAATCGTTCTAAAACAATAAATAAATTTCTCGATGTACTTATATTCAAAAAATATGTATGAAATAAATTTAAAGCTATAAATAAATACATAACTTTAGGTTGGCTATTATAGGTAAATAATCACCATAAATATAAAACAATATTAAGTTAATAAAACAGTCCTATAATACTACATAATATTTCAAGGAAAGCATAAATTTATATGTGCAGTGAATAATGTTGCCAATTTCTTTTATACAGTTTAATATTATTATTATTTTATTTATAATTTGAATCAGTCAGTAAAACATTATCAGATTTCTTTCCAATTCACTTTTTTCTACTTTGTGTGGATTGATTTCTGTTACAAACTATTCAATATTCATGTTATCAGTCCGGACGTACAGTACGTATACAATTTGTATATGCACTATCAAATTTTTGAGGATTTAGGCTGCAATAGTTTTTTTTACTAAATAGATTAAAACTATTTGAACTTTTTAAAAATAAATATATAACATTATATGTACTGAATATTTTATGTTTTAATAAATATAAAATAATTGGTGGTAATACTGAAAGTAACAAACATTAATGGAAGGAAGAACACGTTTTTCTGTTTATCTTTAAAATAAAACAAAAGAAAAAGTACCTAAATGAAAAAAAAATTAACATAAACGGTAAACGGAACTCTTATTAAACGTAAATCCTGTGGACTGAGGACAATTTACTTTGATTAATTACCCAGCTTTTTGTCTTGCGGAAAATTGATGCTCATTAAAACGAGGGATGATTTCACCATATACATTAGGGTGAATCTGATGAGCTAAAGAAAAAAAATAATAGCTAAAATATTATAAAGCTCTTTTTTTGCTTTTGTGAACTAAATAGTGATTGACATAGTAACTATATTTCTTAAGTTATGATCACATAAATGGTTCAAATAATTATTTCGTTGAACATGACAAAAAAAAAAAATATACTTAATTAAAATTATTATTTATGAATTTACAACAAATTAGGTTTTGAATTGTTTATGGTTTGAATTTATCTGATTTTAAAATATTTCGCATTTATTTCTGTAAGTTAACCTTCAAACAAATTTAAAAAATATTATACGACTTATTTAGGATTATGTATAAAAAAAAGAGCTATCATTTTATTTGAGTAAAACTCTATTAAATATTATAATATATTATTATATTTTTTTATTTAATTTAATATTTACATAGGTTATCAATCGTTTTAAATTACATTTTTACGTATGTTATGGTAATATTCCATGAAGTTCAAAAATACCATTTACTATCTGGGAAAACTCCTGTATTCAACTCTTTTCACCCGTGTTAACCAAAATAAATGGGTTAACAAATTGCCATTTTTCGTCTTTCCTTTTTAGTTTCCACCCGTTATTATTCCGGTATTTAACAATTTCGTTTAAATAAGTTGTCGTTCGAAGGCAGTTCCAGCGACCTGAAAAAATGTTCAGTTGGTTAGGATTGGTTAGGTGCCCAATTAACGCTGAGTATTAAGTTTCTATTCTTTTGAACACCATATTATTTTTATTTTGTTTCAATATTTTAATTTACTCTCTCAGCTCATCTAAAAATATATAAGTAGATGGGTCAACCTAACCCAGCATATTATCTATATCATGGCGTGGTTCTGGACGGACGGAAATATTTTTGAAATAAATAGATTTTTTTACCAAAGAACCACTTTGCAGCGTCGGGGGTCCTTGAAGGGAAATATCGGCATTTCCGGTTAGGGGAGGTTGGGATTTTTGGTAAAAACAATAATTAACGATCGCGAGTATTCGGGAGGCGGGATCGAGTGGCGCTCCGTCGTGCATTATAAGGACGGGGTCACACGGAAACTCAGGACCCTCTGCTATAATTTGGTACACGTCTGGGATGGCGGAAAGACATTACAAATTGAAATACAGTTACACATATTATTATATTACTGCTGGAAGACCGAACACGGTAAGTGCTATTCGTTAATATTTTATGAGATTCAACGCTCCGTAAGCCTGGATAATCATTCGGATAATACCGAGAAAAGTGTACACTCGAAGACATGGTATAACATTGTATCATATACGAGTAAAACTTGTACACACACACACACACACACACACACACACACACACACACACACACACACACACACACGAAAACTCAGTAAATCCGTTGTCAGTTTTTGGATGTGTGTTTGGCTAGTTGAAAAATTAATTGCTCCGACGCGGTGACGACAACACAAACAAAAATTATGTCGCACAATTC